CCGCCCTACTCCCCCAGGTGCATCTGCTTCACTATGGTCCGCCCTACTCCCCCAGGTGCATCTGCTTCACTATGGTCCGCCCTACTCCCCCAGGTCCATCCCCTTCTAGGCCCACTGGCAGCCCTTGCTCTCCTCTTACTGGCAACCTCCCACACAGTCTCCCCAGTCCAAACCACTATCCAAAAATTAACCACCCAAAATTTTAACCTTATGCTCCTTGCAGGATATCACCCCATTCCTACAGCTGAACCTGACACTCCAGACCATGCGTCTACTCTCTAAATCAATGCCCCTTGACAGCAGGAAGTAGCCAGAAAAGGCTTCATCGCCCTTTTCCTGTAACTCAAAATCTGGAATGTTAAGGCACCCAGCCGTGAGCCCCCGGCCCCCATACCACTTCCAGTTCTCCTGGGTTCCTCTACCACAACTGTGCTGCAAAGATTTAACTTTGACTGTCTGTGCCCAGCTGATTATACATACAGCTTTGTTTCTGCTTGCTTCACAGACTCTATGCTCTGTGCCCAGAACACTCTGGCCCACCCAGGGACACTTTATGACTCCCCTTCTCATTCCTGCCTGCCCAGAACACCCCGACCCAGAGAAGGACACTTGATGACTCACCTTCCCCCATTCCTACATGCTCATTGCTCTATAAAGTCCCTGCCTTGCCAGCCATCGCTGCTCCCGGCACATGCCAGTTGCTGTCGATAAACCACTCCTTTCATGCCAGCTAACATGAGTGTGGGCTTGTGCGGATTCGAGGGCACCTTTTCCCAACAGTTTTCCTGTCAGGACAGAGTACAGACCTTTCCAAGTTTGCTTTGTCATCTACAAAAGGTAAATACTATAAGTGGGCCATACTACATCTCCTTGGAGAACTGTGAACGGTAAGGCAAGAAGTCAGAATCAAAAGTGAAAACAGCCATGTAAAGCATCTGGCAATGCCTGCTGTCTTTATGCATAACCTTCTTCTTACCTTCCCCCAAAGCATTACTTTCTTCTAGCTGAAATACTCCTTTCCCTTAGTGAACTTTTTTATCTATTTTTTTTAATGAATTTAGAACACGGCTTACAGGGTGTACAGGGTCTCACTACGTACATCGGACTCATAGTGACTGTCCTGTTTTCAGCCTCCCAAGCACTGGGATTAGAGGCGCGCGCTACCACACCCAGTCTCAATCACTGTCTCAGCGCACCCCAGGGACAGGTCTGGCACAACATGCTGGAGACTGAACCCGGTCACTGTGCTCTGCTGAAGCAGGTGCTTTAGTCTGCGGAGCTTTCTGGCCTGCCCTCCCTTTGTGAACTTTTTCACAAATGCACTTTTTCTATCAGCTGTTTCTGACTTAATCTTGCTGTTCCTAATCATTACAACTTTTATTCAAATATACTGGAATTTCCATTAAATTACACACACTTGGACTTTACATTCAGTATACTCCAAAACACACTCTCATTTTAACAATCTGCCCAACTGATTTATACGCAATTAAAGTTTGAGAAACCCTGTCCTGAGGCTCTCACCTGTGGCCCCCACCTCTCACTTTCTCTTACGTATTATTTCCTCTTTCCAACTTTTATTTGTTCTCGAGCCAGGGCTCTTTAAGTATGTATTTCCCAGGCTGGCTGCAAACTCTTGATACTCAGCCTCCAAAGTGGCTGGATTTACATGCCCATGACATCATCTCTGGCTCTTTTTACCAGTTTTGATGGGGAAAAAAACAAACAAACACTGGAGACTTAAAACACACAGTCTTTGCCTCTCTCAAAAGCAATTTCTGTGCTGGTGTGCACAGCGCATCCCACTCCTGGCAGATGTTTAGAAACGGGATTCATTTATGTCTGTGTTCTTGGAAGTGCCTTACACAGGCTCATACTCCACAAGGTTTTAGTTAATGTGAATGTAAGAGTTATGTCCCACGTAACACCTCAGGGTCCCCCTAGTTACACCAGAAAGCAGCAGCAGGTCCTTTTCCTCGCTCGCATCGTCCTTACCATGGACAGGGACACCATAGGGCTTACTGATGACCACGAGGTCCTTGTCCTGGTGGAGAATCCCTCGGCTCAGCGCCTTAGCAAGGACGTTGGGGTGCACGCGTTGCAGCTGCTGGGTGAACCGCACTAGTTCTCGCACCCTCCGCTGAACAGGGTTTGTGGGCACCTAAGCGAGGGAAAAGGTGGGAGGAAGGGCCAGTGGGAAACTCCTGGTGAGAAAATGATGGTGGCGGTGGGGCGCCTCATTAAGGTCCGGGTGAGCATTTGTAACCCAGACTCATAGCTTTCTTTGCATCAGACTCGGCTTTTCTCGCAAAGCGTCGTCCTAACCCGCGAACGCACGCCGCGTTTAGGACTGAGCCCGAGAGCGGCAAAGACGCCGAAGCCCTGGGCCGCCTCCCCGTCGCCCGGCGCGCACCCTCCACAGACCCGACCACCACACCCCGCCGGGGAAGCCCGCGGGCAGCAGCGCCGCCTCTTGGGAGTTGTGGTCCTTCCAGGCTCACCGGCTGCTTCTTTGTCTTTTCCTCCCTTTTCTGGGCTCGGAGTTTCTCCGCTAATCTCTGGGCATCCAAGGGCCTGGATGCAGCGGCGCTGGAGCAAAGTGGCTTTGAGAAGAGAGTGAAGAGACTCCTCCAAAGCGGGCCGGGGCCCCGGATCAAGAAGCCCAGCGCGCGGTAGCTGGGCGCCGCCATCTTGCCCAGGGCGGGCCGAGCCGAGCCCACGTGAGCGGGGGGCGGGGCCTGGCGGGTCACGCGGGCGGGGCTGGCGGTCACGTGGGCGGTGCGCTCCCAGTGCGGCTTCGCCGACCGGTAGCTGCTAGCTGGAGCGGTGGCGTTTGGAGGAGACGCGGTGAGTGTGTCAGGGCAGCAGGGCTGGGGTGGGACACGCCGGCTCCTCGGTGTTTTCCGCCTCCGCGAGAGTTCCGTCGTGGGACGGCACTGCCCAGGGAAGCGCTTCTCCCTGCGGGACACAACCTCGCCCGAAAACACTCCCCCGCCCCCGCGCCCTTTTAGAAGCAAAGCCCCTTGGACGCTTGTCCCAAGCTTCGCGGGCGCCTGGCGCGTCCCTCTGGGCAGCCGCGACCCCGGCCAGCCCCTGAGGGACGTGTCGGGGCCCGTCGCGTTTCTTTACGGCTCGAGCTCCGGAGGTGCCCGGATATCTGCCCTGCTTGCCCCTCGTCTTCCGACTCCAGCCTCGTCGTTTCTCGCTGCAGCCTGTCCTGTCCTGCCAGGGATGGTGGCCCCTTCGTGGACTTAGCCGGCCTCCAGTGCCTGCCTAACGGAGCACTCCGGGTCCCTTCCGTGCTTCACAGTTCTTTTCTTGGGATCTCCCTGCTCTTGCCAAGGAAAAGACTGCGAAGTACGGAGAACAAACCCCTTCTCGTTTTGCTTCCTTTACCCTCCTGCCCTTTATAGTTCGCGCTTCCCCCAGAACCGCTCTCTGTCTCCTAAAAGACGCGAAATGGGGGCTTCTGCGCCCGAACTGCGAGCGACTCCCTCTCCTTTCACCAAAGGAGGAACAGCTGTCTGAGGTGGTAATCTAGTCCTTGGGATATTCAGTACCGTTTTTAAAGAAAGCTAGTGATGACAGACGGGAAACTGAAGGCTCTGTAGTGACGCTAGAGGGATGACAGCATGGGCTACCTGAGGAAAGAGAGTAAGTAGTTGAATTAAGCGGTGCTGCTCCAGAAGGTGTTGGCAGATTGAACAGTTGGAGCTAACCTAAAGATGAAGTTTAGGAGTTTAAACTACGTGTGCTAAGTAGTTGGCAGGCTTTGAAGCTTTCTTGAAAGGCTCCTTGAAACTGGAATTCTAGAAATGAGTCTAGCAATCAGTTGCAAGACAAATCGAAAAGGAAAGCGTGATAGCAGGGAAACCAGCTGGGTCACGTCGCAGTCTAGGTGATCAGTAGTGAGATCATGCCTTTTTCAGTGGACTTTTTCCCCAACACAATACAAATCCTTGAGTTTGAATTACGAGTTATCTAGGTCACAATCTACCAGTAGTAGTCGAGTCGGAGGACTCTATTTCTTAATCTTCATAGCTAGCACATAGTAACCTCACCGATAGTTGTTAGATGGCTAGATGTTTGTGAACATATTGACTTGCCCTGTTTCCCTCAGTTTTTTTTTTTTAACCTGAAGAATGAAAGTAAATACATTTGTAGATTTGAAAAAGTGTTTTGTAACAAAATAGGTAATCTAGACCTAAATGCCAAGGAATATTGAGAAATTACTTGTGTTTCTCCTATTCCCTTCCTTTCACAGACAGGATATAGATCTGTGAAAGTTGAGAAATTCCATCCTAAAAGAATTACTATTACTGTGTTTTAATGGTAGCTGCAGACTCCCAGGTTTTACTGCAGTTGCACATCGCTTGTTACTTAGTTGCAAGAAGGCCTCTTCTGCAAGAACTGTGAAATTTAAACATCAGAACCTAAGTCCAAATCTTAAATGCGAGCCTCTTTGGGGTACAAGACTTTAGTGATTTGGGCAGTGGTGCTGTGACAGTCTATATCTACCTTCAGTTCTGATGGCATTCAAGAAATAACACTTGGGAGAATTGGCCGTCCGTGTCAAGAAACAAAACCAAGAACCAACTTGGATGCCATTGCTAATGGACACAGAGCTTGTGTTCTTGGGTTTCAGTTAGGCCAAGGCACCGGCTAGTTTGAGAATAAAAATACTTTTCTAAAGAAGGAAATTTTGAGTTTTTCTTGCTTTCACTGTGGGAGAAAACAATTACAACTTCCTTAATGTTTTTCCTATGAGTCTTAAGTGCTTAATGCTTAGTGATTTAGAGCTGCCCTCTTAAGTGTAAAGAATTTATGCAAATATGTTTTTTCGTTTTTGTCTCTATATATTGTCTTCTTCCTCTTCCTCCACTGAATTCTATTTTAGGCATTCAGTTCTCTTGTGTGTATGTATATGTGGTGGGGATGCTCCTGCTGTTGCTGGGAATTGAACCTGAGACCTTGCATATGCCAGGCAGCACTTTACTAATAAGTACTATGTATCCCCAGCTCTTTCCTTTTTCTACTTCTGTACCAATCTCACATTTTGTCTTTTTAGTTGGGAATGCCTCTTGTCTGAACTGCTTTAACAGTACACAGAAATTCCATTCGCGGTCTTCATTCTTACAGGATGCAGCTCTCTTCAAATGTGGCACATATTTATATGGATTTTGATGTTACAGTATGTGACCACAACATAATTATATAAAGAAGACTGGCTTAGTTTGCTTTTAAGGATATTTCCTACTCTGCTAGAATAGAAAGGCCACCTGAGTGTTTCACAGACACAAACAAGGAATTAAACAGTTTATATTTAAAATTCATAAATTTAAAGAGCTATGACTCCTCAATGATCTTCTAGTTGCAGATTAACCAGAGATCCTGTTTCCCTGAAGAACAGGAAGTACTTGGACATTGTTTTATGATGTTAGATTAAAAGATGCAAGTAGCAGGAACTCTGTGGGGTGTCCAGGAAGGTGCAGTTTGAGAAGCAGAGAGGGCTAGGCAATAGACCAGTTTCAGCTGTTACGAACTTAAGCAAGTGTTTGAGTTTCAGATTTTTGTCATTTAGCTCTTTACAACTCCAAACTTCTGTGATAGGAAGATTCTTCCAACACTTAAGTACTTTAACAGTAGAACTTACTTCAGACTTTATGCAAATGTATTTATCATTGGCACAGAAAATCTGTATTCTGCCCGTTCCCTCAATTTAACTGTATGTCACTGAGCTAATATTTATATTTGGAATTGACTTTCACTGAATGGTTCAAATTCCCAAAGCAGGGGAGGGGTGTGTGTTGTGGGGGGGTGCAGATAGGAAAAAAAATGTTAGGAGGCCATAGGTATAGCTTAGTAGTAGAACATGTTTGGGCCTTGGTTTCAATCACTGTACCAGAAAAAAAGTGAGAAAACAATAATGTAGACCTACATGAGTACTAGTTCTTTTTCTACACCACAGTTTAAAGAAATTTCAGTTTACTATTGCATTTCTTATTTTATGTAGTTTTTGAGTAATAAGACAGGTCTACCTTAAACCAGTGGTTCCCAGACATTTTTCGTTTCGTAACAAATGGAAATAGTTGTATCGTAGGCAAAAACTGGAGGTGCCCACAGGGGACAACTTGCCTGGGCCCTCTAGCCATCCCTAGTCCCCCTCTGATAGCAAGCACCAAAGACCAAGGAGAGAGACCTGTATAACCCTTAGGAAGCTTAGCTCTGCATGTACAGCACCTTTGTCCTGAACTGCCTAGCTATGAAAAGAAACTGTAGTATTGCTTATCTTTGTTAAATCGATGTCATACTTGGATTTACATTTATGCACCTTTATACTCTTGCCTTGTCCACAAAAGCTCTTAACCAGCGCTTAGATAGTGGCCTATCTAGGCAGGCACTTGCACCACTGAGCTATCTCCCTGACCCTAGTGGCCTATCTAAAAGTATGCAAATAACAGCCAATAAAGAGATGAGAAGTACTTTAGCTATGATGTTATTGGCTTTTGTTTTCATTTTGAGACTGGGTCTCACTATGTAGTTCATACTGGACTTGTGTTCACTAAATATCCTGGACAGGCCTCAAACTCTCAGCCGTCCTGTGGCTTCAGCCTCCTTGAGTGCTGGGATTATAGGTGTGCACCGCTACATCTGGCGTGCCATGGTGTTTTCACTCAGAATGTAGGTGATCTTGGTCACAACTACTTAAAAATTAGGATCATACAGAGTCAAAGATGGTTGTACAAGTAATATGGTAATATGTGCAGATTTTAGTTAATTCTACAGGTTCCAGTATAAAAGTAATACTTTAATTATGACAGATATAAAAAGTAGAATAGTAAAAAAACTTTACAGCTGTTTTCCAAATATGTTAATATCATAGTTTCTCTCCACTCATTTTTATGTACATTGTTTGGGGTTATAGAAATTTTCAAACAGAAGCAGAGAAAATACTCTTGTGAAGCCCATGTACCCACCAAGCCACCTTCTACAGTTAATTAATCCAAGGGCCAATGTTGTTACGCAGCTTATACCCCAACTTTGCCTTCCAGATGGTTTTGAACCAAATCTCAAACATACTCATTTGAAAAAACAAAACAACAAAAAAAAAACACCTTTGTTACTTTATAAAAGGTAAAGATTTATTTTTAATATCACAATACCATTATCACAGCTACCTTAATGTTACCATGCAGCTAGTCAGTGCACAGATTTTCCTGTCTGGCTCTCCTTTTTCTTAACAGTTGTAAAATGAGACTTGAGATCTGAGCAAGATGCACAAATCAGCTTTCAGTTACAAGAGCGGTACCGTGTGGGCATACAGAGGAGACGTGTGGTCTGTAAACCTGATGAATGTAGTGGCTAGGACCTTGGCATTTTAGAATCAGACTGGGTTTCAGACTTTAGCTCTGTCATTTACCAGCTGGGTAACCTATAGTTTTACTTAACCTCTCTCACTTTAATATCTTTAACTCAGTTTTGTGCTGTTCCACTGAGCTACACCCTCAGCCCATTTCAGGACTTTAAAATTGTAGAATGTGGGTGATACCTACTTAAGAACCACTTGAGGATTGAGATAATGAATATTAAAGTGCTCCCGATGTATAGCATAGCAGAAGGTGCTGAGTGACAGAAAATGGGAAATGGACTGCATCAAGAGATGATGGAGGCCAGGGAGATGGCTCAGTAGAATAAGCGCTTA